TTTTATAGTTTGGTAACTTTTTTTAGTTTGTTTTCTGCTTTTACATAGACACATTTTAATACATAGTATTATTTTAACTTAGATATTTGGTGAGTAGGTTTGCAAAATATATAGAAATATTTGATTCAGAAAACTATGTATATGATATTATTTTTCAAAATTCATACACTTAAATATTTGGCGTACTCTTAAAATATGTATCATCGTATAAAGTATATTTATTTTTATTTATCATATTGTTTAAACTGTTTTGTAAGCGAAACGAAAGCATCAAAACAATTATATTATGTTTTAATGTATTTTGTATTGATTGTTCACTTGTCTTTAAAAATATCATACATTATAGTTTTAAAGGTATCTAAACAACGTGTTAAGATTTATTGTTTTTATATTTTTAATTTATTATAGATATTTTTAATTGTTAATTATTTTTTTAGTCATATCTTTTTGTAAAACGCGTTTTTAAGTAACATTTTTAATGTCTACTTAACTTATGCAATATATGCGAGTGTATTATAGATTATCACACACGAACACACACATATACATTTATATTTATATTATATGTACATATGTATAAGTACGTAATATAAAACTTAAAACATCAAGTATTACAAACAATTTATCGTTCAATTACATTATACGAGTATATGGACATAGTTGGAATACTCGTGATATATATATATGAACATTAAGGATTCATTTTAAATTCCTCGCGTGATTTCCTACGAGTAATAATTAAAATTACGTATATGGCATATAAAGGCAATCTGCAAACCTGATGATTTAATAAGAAACGTGATTTATTAACATTTGTAATTTAACATTTTAAATTGACTATAGGTTAATTAATCACTTTAATTGGAATAGAACAAAACACCACTGCAGTATTTTCTTATATATGCGCGTAATATAACTTAATTTAATAAAGAAATATTTGTTAATTTAAATATTATTATGCATTAACATGCTTGAAATATTTTTAGTGATCGATGGTATAGTTATAACTTATAACTGATAGTATTATGGTATTATACATTTATTATTGTACTTTTTAAATAATTTTCAATTTATTGTTGATACACAATTTATTTTTAATTTGGTACAGCATACCTTTTATTAATATTAATAAAAAAATAAATATTTTATATGTTCGACGTATTTTATTGTATTATTTTCTTGGTATAAATGCATATGATAGTGTATTTAGCCATATATTTATTTGAACTGCTAACTAACTTAATATTTAATTAATATTAAATATTTAACTATTTATTTTAAACTCATATTACATATTTTAAAAATTAATGCAATACAATTTTTAATTATGATCTATGATCGTATTTACTATTATTTTAGGTAATAATTAACTGAATGTATTCTCATAGGAGTGGGTAAATCCTAACTTTGGTATTTCTTAAATGATTCCAAACTAAGTAATAGTATTTTTCAAGCAACTATTTAAATAAAAAATATATTTACTTTATGACCATCGATACATTATTTTTAACTGGTTTTTTTTTTCGTGTGTGTGTGTATCAACCATTCATAAAATGTATTAATTTTTTCCGTGAATCAAACATTTAAACAACCATTACTAAACTAAAAGTATAGTACACTATTACAGTCATGTCTGGAAGCAAATAAAAAAAATATAGTTATAAATTCTTTACGTATACGTAAAGTAAATAATCAATCAATATTTAAAAATTATTTATAATAATATTATATTATTTTTTCAATAATTAATAATTATTAAATTATAAAATGAAAGGTGAAACTATATGGATAACTATCTCCGTTCAATCAAAAAAAAAAAAAAAAAAATTAAGAATGCCTCTGTAGTAATTATAAAAAACAATTTTATTTTAATAGTAGTTTCATTATATTTTATTTAGTCATAGACATATAAGCATAAACGATTCACCGAGGAAATATTTAGACGATTTAGGACAATGAATAGACATGTATATATATAGACAGATGAATGCTTTGAAAGTAAATATTATTTTTTTTTTAAAGTATGAACATAAATGTATTTAGAATACTTTTAAGCAAACATATTTTCAAAAACGTTCATACTTCTTGAAATAGTAATTGTTAACTTTTAAATAAAATATTCTACTTTGAAATGTGATATTAAAAATATATGTTGACACTAATAAAAGAAAAACAAATTGAACGAAAAAAATTGATAAAGTTCATATATTTTTTTTATGAAAAGTTACTTTTTAATAATGTCTTTTAATTATCTAAAATAAATATTTCTATGAATGTTTATTCTTCATAATAATCGA